AGGTCAAGAAGTGGTCGCCCTCGGTCTGTTAGGACTCCAGCAGTGATAAAAGCTGTGAAGGCGCGAATTCAAAGAAATCCCAAACGTAAGCAGAAACTGTTGGCCCTTCAGATGGGGTTAAGCAGAACCACGGTGAAAAGGGTGTTAAATGAAGACTTAGGGCTTCGGGCATATCGAAGAAAAACAGGACATCGTTTGAATGCTCGTCTAATGGACCTGAGACTGAAGAGATGCCGCGCTTTGTTGGAGCGGTACGCGGGAAAAAAATATCGGGAAATTCTTTTTTCGGATGAAAAATTTTTTACTGTAGAAGAGAGCTACAACAAACAAAATGATAAGGTGTACGCACACAGTAGTGAAGAGGTCATTTTCCATCCTCGCTCATGGTATCGTTGGGAGTTTCTTATTGGGGCTTAACAGAGGTACATTTTTGTGAGAAAGGTGTAAAAACGAATGCAGTTGTGTATCAAAATACAGTCCTGACGAACCTTGTGGAACCTGTTTCTCATACCATGTTCAATAACAGGCACTGGGTATTCCAACAAGATTCGGCGCCAGCTCATAGAGCGAAGAGCACACAAGACTGGCTGGCGGCGCGTGAAATCGACTTCATCCGGCACGAAGACTGGCCCTCCTCCAGTCCAGATTTGAATCCGTTAGATTACAAGATATGGCAACACTTGGAGGAAAAGGCGTGCTCAAAGCCTCATCCCAATTTGGAGTCACTCAAGACATCCTTGATTAAGGCAGCCGCCGATATTGACATGGACCTCGTTCGTGCTGCGATAGACGACTGGCCGCGCAGATTGAAGGCCTGTATTCAAAATCACGGAGGTCATTTTGAATAAACTTTAGTGTCATAAGAATCTATGTTTTGTTAAGTTCATTTTGGTATATGAATGGTTACATAATGAATAAACTTGTTTCAATTATTTTACATTAAACATGTGACAGAATTTATGACCTGACTAGGTATAAACAGCACGTTGATAACAAATCTAACAACGAAACACGTCTTACCACAGTATACGAAATCTCAGTACTTTTACATTATGAATCATTGATGGCTGATAAATAAAAGAGATCCTTCCGCTACACACGCTATCAAGTAAGAACAAAACAAAAGAAGCGATGCTGGTGGGGTTTAGGAAATACGTAACCAGGGGTCCATCAGTCGACCAGAAGGGAACTTTTTTGATACGGGCAAGTACAGTACGGGAGCGCTGATGTAAATTTACACACATGTATTACGTACTTAGCGGTGGTACGTCGCACCACCATCCTGTCGCGATAAAATGACTTAGCCATGACAACCTTTGGGAAAATTCAAACAATAATACTGAGTCTTAGACCTTAGTCTCAAAGCCACGTCCTTACGGATCCATCAGATCCAATAACCTTTGCATTAGACGCTCTAACACTAGGAGCAGGCTTAGGGACCCCGGTAACCGTACTCGTCGAACTCGACGAAGAGTTCGACGTGCAACCTAACCCATGAATCAGCTCGCTGAGTTTTTCGTCGGATCTTCTCAGCGGGTCGCGATTCCGATCCGGTAGTAGATTCATTCGCGAAGCAGCTGCTCTTGAGCTGTTAGGTCTCCATCGGAGGAGCTTGGGCAGCTGTTAGCAAATCCCACCCCTTCTGGCTGAACCTTTCTCGCCCACCTGTCCTGGNGACGAAGAGTTCGACGTGCAACCTAACCCATGAATCAGCTCGCTGAGTTTTTCGTCGGATCTTCTCAGCGGGTCGCGATTCCGATCCGGTAGTAGATTCATTCGCGAAGCAGCTGCTCTTGAGCTGTTAGGTCTCCATCGGAGGAGCTTGGGCAGCTGTTAGCAAATCCCACCCCTTCTGGCTGAACCTTTCTCGCCCAACTGTCCTGGTGAAACTGGAAAGGCCTCCGGGCCACCAGTAATCCTTCAATGACAAAAAAAGAAGTCTCAAAGGTGGGTGGAGGCATTCGCATAGTGATGTCTATGGGGTCCAGTAATGAGGTGTTAGGAGAATTCGTTCAACCATCAATGCATTAAAAAAAAAAAAATTTTTGGAAGTTATGTTGAAATATAATGGTATCAACCCTTACTGAAGGTAAAGTTATAAAAATATTTTCATCTGGCTCACTTTTGTACTTCCCTGGTACGATTAAGGTGAGATCAGTGAGAGCTGTGTCTGGTTTTCACCAATAGCTAGGTGATGGGCTACATGTGCCCATTGACCTTACCACTACTAATTATCAAAATTATCAGTTTGTCAGTAAGTAATGTCACCAAAATATATGAGATTTCATAAGAGGTTTATGTTAAGTGTTCTTTTAATATTTGCTTATTAAATACATATTGGTTATTCCACATAGCTTTGATTTCAGTAGAATACATTATAAGAGCAAAGAATAACTTTTTATTTTATTGCAATTATATGCGGATGGACGAGCTCACAGTCCACCTGGTGTTAAGTGGTTACTGGAGCCCATAGACATCTATAAAGTAAATGCGCCACCCACCTTGAGATATAAGTTCTAAGGTCTCAACTATAGTTACAACGGCTGCCCCACCCTTCAAACCGAAACGCATTACTTCTTCACGGCTGAAATAGGCAGGGTGGTGGTACCTACCCGTGCAAACTAACGAGAGGTCCTACCACCAGTAAAGGTCCTACCACCAGTACTTTTCTTTCATAGCCTTTACTCCTTCACCCTACTTTGTTACTTCATTCATTATTTTTTTTTATTACTCTGTGATTAATTAGTCTAATACTAAAATTACTTATTTCATAGGGACATGTAATTAGTATAAATGGAATAGTAACAATGTCAATAGTTTGTACTTGTCAATAGTTACGGGCACTAGCACACGATTCACTATAATTAGCGTATTTTCGTAAATTTGTTTCACATATTATTATGACAGTTGGATTCATTGCATGGGAATACTAAAATAGAAGATTATTATATAGGCTACTACAAATAAAAGATGCGGGGCGGATTAGTGGTAATATATACCTGCATATTCTGGTTAACAAATCAGTCTCCATTACATGGATCATACAATGATTTGATGAACAACTAATAACATTGCATTAAGTTCTGAATACTTCAGAGCATCAGTACAGTCCCACTGTATTCTTTTTTTCCATTCTAGATGAACTTTCCAGCTAGAAATATCTCACATGCCATAGACATTAGAACAAAACGAAAAACTGAATCTAAATTCCTGTCCCCTATGTTCCCTTCCCTTTTTATTAAGTTCATTTCAAAATCCGAGACAAAATAGTGTAGCCTCAAATTACCTGAATCTCACTGTACTGTGTACACATATATTACATTAGACTAGTGAGCAAATTATAATATCTAAGATACTAATTAATAATAGTTTAAAAAAACTAACAAAATACGCTTTTATAGAAAATCCACCCATATGGAAAACCTGACCATTAAAATAAGACACATGATTGCATCATGGCATTAATAGACAATAAAACCTACCCTCCCAGGTTCACAACATGCCCTACCAACAATTATAAAATTTTTAAATTTAACAGGTGCCATTTTTACTGTCGTTCAAAATTGTTAGCCAGATCCAATTTTACTAAGTAATTAGATTACTATACATTTTTTTTAGAAAAGTTTTCTAAAATGAACAAATATCATCAAACAATAAAAAGAGTTACACAATTACTTAGTAATAAAAACGTGGATACAGTATTATTTTACAGTTTCAAATATAAGTATATTTCTTCACTTTCCAGTTTTTAAATCTCTTATTTAATTATTTAACTCATTTTTCAGACCCAGTGATCTCAAATGATATATACAAATGTATCAAATGAATGATAGTACATACTATGTTGTTTATAAATATAATATAGATTTTATTTTAAAATTAATACCTCACTGTATATTGTAAGTTTATCCAATAGTATGCATACAATTTAGCAACCATTGTAAAATGAAATTTCAATTAAGTTCTTAGTATAGTCAACATCTGCAATGGAATAAGAAATAATTTCCTGGGCTATAACCCTGGTCAAGATTGGTTGATATTATGTTAAACTTAAAGTTGCTTCTAGCACCTTCAAGCAAAACCTCTCTTTCTGATAATCAATATTTTATAGATCAAGTTTACAGTTTTTGTTTTGTATGCTGGGTGGTTGATCTCATGGCCCGCCTGGTGTTAAGTATTTACCGGAGCCCAAAGAAACCTACAATGCAAATGTCGCTACACACCTTGAGATATGAGTTCTAATGTCTCAACAAAAGTTAAATGATTAAAACAAAATATGCTTTAATACAACAAAAATATTATTCAATAGTAACTGTATTGTTGGGAATCACACAGTAAATTTAAAACACTAATAAAATGACAGTTTTGATGTAGGATATGCGACAATATAAATGTAATTTACGTATGAACAATTCTTCATCGATATTCAATCAATTTAATTTAATTGTATTGACTGACTCACTCTATTAAGGAGTACTNCTACAATGCAAATGTCGCTACACACCTTGAGATATGAGTTCTAATGTCTCAACAAAAGTTAAATGATTAAAACAAAATATGCTTTAATACAACAAAAATATTATTCAATAGTAACTGTATTGTTGGGAATCACACAGTAAATTTAAAACACTAATAAAATGACAGTTTTGATGTAGGATATGCGACAATATAAATGTAATTTACGTATGAACAATTCTTCATCGATATTCAATCAATTTAATTTAATTGTATTGACTGACTCACTCTATTAAGGAGTACTTAATACTAATGCAAAACAGACGGAAAATATGCTGAGACTGTTTGACATTTCTTTATCGAATCGAATGAATACTGATAAGAATAATTCTTTGGTTCGTAATTAGCTTTCAAGACGACACACCAAAGATTCGGTACGAAAACCCGTGGGCGAGCTGTCAAGTTTCAGGATAATGCCGTAAAGTAAAAAAATGAGATATAACAGGTAATAATATGTTTTAATCCTATTAATCTACCAAACTCACCGTAAATCTCCTTAATTTCGTTGTCGCCAGCATTATCACAATGAACACACAAAATAAATATACCAAAAATGGCTCCTACCGAGTAATGAAAATACATCTTAGAATCACTATACACACGTTACAGACGTGCGTATTATTCTTAAATACTACTTATATACCACATTTTCACTTTGTTATCTGATTAAAACGGAAATAATGACGTTAATAAGTCATTTATATCGTCTTAAAAGTATCAATAAAACTTCCATCAAGCGAGCGAGACCCAACCGTCTGTCATTTTACTTGTCAATAGAATAAACAACTAATGTTGCCAATTACTGTCTGTGAAGCTTACATGAGAAATTAAGAATACCCAATATGTTTATAACTCCAAATTAGTAATACGAATATTTTTGAGCTCTTAAATTACAATGTTTCCATAAACTTTATTATATATTGTAGTCGTCGTGACCAAAAAGATAAAACGTCCGGTGGATTCGTGTGTAGCGATGCATCGGTGTGCGGATCCCGACGGCAGGTACCAATTTTTGTAATGAAATACGTACTTGACAAATGTTTCATGATTGACGTCCACGGTGAAGGAATAACACCGTGTGATAAAAATGAAACCCGCAAAATTATAATTTGCGTAATTACTAGTAGTAGGACGTCTTGTGGATCCGCACAGGCAGGTTTTTTTTTCCTACCTAAGCTGATAGACTTGAGAGGCCATATCAGCGTCGTCTTAACTAGTAGGTGAGCTCACGAGGCTCAAGCCTGATGGCGTTGCTTACACGAACCCTAGCAAGAGCCGTGCTTCACAGAATCTACCATCGGATCGGAAACGCGACCCACTGAGAAGATCCGGCGAGAAACTCAGTGAGCTGTGTCTGAGGGTTAATTTACTCGTCAAGCCCTTCGTCACAAGCGACGGGTTCGATGAGAACGATGACCGGTGCTTGAGGTACCTAAAAGCACCGTTAGTGGATCGGGAGGATCCGAAGTGACGTGTTTGGGGCGATGTCGACTGCTTTCCATTCTTTCCGCAGGATCGGGATTTTTTTTTCTTAGAAGGGTGGACGAGCTCACAGCCCGTCTGGTATTAAGTGGTTACTGGAGCCCATAGACATCTACAACGTAAATGCGCCACCCACCTTGAGATATAAGTTTTAAGGTCTCATACAGGTGGTACAGGTACCTCAGGTATAGGGGCAGCCGTTGTAACTATACAACGGCTGCCCCACCCTTCAAGCCGAAACGCATTACTGCTTCACGGCAGAAATAGTCGGGGTGGTGGTACCTACCCGTGCGGACTCACAAGAGGTCCTACCATCATGGTCCTACCAATGCGGGTAGGTACCACCACTCTGCCTATTTCCATTGCCATAAAGCAGTAATGCGTTTCGGTTTGAAAGGCGGGGCAGTATTAAAAGTAAGACCCTTACAACTCTTGTCTCAAAGTTGGCATTTACGTTGTAGATACATAACACCAGGTAGGTCGTGAGCCCGTCCACCCAAATAAGCAAAAAAAAAAAATATTTTGGAAATCAAAATCGATTATATCATTTTTATAAAAAAAAAATTGTAGAATTATAATTATAATAATTTATACATCATCACCCTGTAAGAATTTTCACAAAAGGCATAAATTTAGTTATGTCCGTCTTTAAGAAAGACTCTACCGTTTTAATCAGGATTATGGCAACCATTGTATTGGGGCATAGGCTTAGTCAATAACAATACCCAATAAATTATAAACCGCAATTGTCTACACTAAACGATCATCTGAATCATCATCTTAACATATAGATATTCACCTAGATTTATTAAAAGGTTATTTTTTTTTTGTCATCTTAATAGTTATAGCAGTGATTTAAAGAAAAATAAAATCTCTCCAGTATGTATCATAGACCTGACTTCAGTGGTATGTATATATTATGAATAAATTCTCTCCAGTATATAATGTGAAATATTTTGGTGTTGAAATGTCTTGCTACTAATAAAAGTTTGTGAATGTCACTGTCACCATCAGTAATACCTACGTGAATCATTTTGTCGTAAAAATGGTAAAATCAAGTAATTCTTGCTGGCAACACTTCTCGGTACACTAGCGGATTGTTTGGTCGGCTTTGGGTGTCAGCCGCTTTGTAATTTCAGTGATAAATAAAGAAATGGACAGTGTAATTTTTGTTTAAGTGAATAGAACATGATTTAATTGTATGGTTATGTGATTATTAAAACGATACGCTGTTTAGTTTACATGAAAGACAGGTACTTCCGCCATGACAATGGGTACTGTGGTCGGGAAGTGTTCCTTCGCGTTTTTAGTTTATTTGGCGTGTATTGAACTTTTGTATCCTGTTTTGGGTAAGTTTGGTAATTTCCTAGATATAATTCATAACTGAAAAACGTCAAATCGGCTTTATATAGTACAAAAATGGTGAGAACATTTCAAACAAGGATGAATTTTTTATTTAAGGAAAAGCGCATTTTGTACTATAAACTTATTTATAAATTAGGATAATTACAAAAGAGTCTCGATTACATTATACTGATATTTTCATTTTATTTGAGTCAGAACAAACTAACTAAGGAACACTACAAGATATGAATGTTAGTATGAACTTCTTTAATCAGGAAGTAATAGATATATTAAGAAAAAATAAATTGATATTAGTCACAGGACAACAGCCAGTTTAAAATATATGAAATAACAGCAGTAGGCGGTGTTTTGGTTGTCCTTCTGACAGCCTTAACTTCCATGAGCGATGGTGACTACTTACCATCAGGTGGGTTGTATACTTATGCGCCTACAATGTCCATAAATAAAAGTGTAATTCAATAAAATTTGTGAATATTTGTTTTCATTCTTCATATATCAGCGAAACCAAATAATTTATTTGATTTTTAATAAAGGAGGCAATGCAGTTCACTATTTCCATTCAGAAGTTATTATCGGGTTCAGGTATATTAAATGCATTTATCCTGCAGTACTACTACAAGTGAAATTTGGATTGAATAATATAAATAGACTAAAGTTGAATTTTTAGTTTTCAATTATTTTATTGTATATTGGATCTGCAAGTTCAGGGACAACCCGGTGTTAAGTGAATGCCACCCTCCAGGTTGAGATTTGAGCTCAAATATATTGTATAACTGCTGTCCAATGGTTCATATTGAAAAAGAAAAAAAAAAGTTTTGTGGTAGAAAACTTGAGTATTATCTACCAGTAGTAATGTAATTTTGATCAGTTGTTATTCTTACATCATGAAACATGTTTGTGAACATCTGTTCAATAGAACAGAACTAGATAAAATTGGTACCTGCCTGTGTGATTTAAGCACCAACATAGTTGAGTTTCTCGATATAAGTACACGTGGTGAAAGCAACTTGCATAAGTTTTATTCAGAATTAGTGGTTTCCACAGTCATAGACAGATATAGATGTAACTATACTTCAGACCTTAGAACTTATATCTCAAGGTGTGTGCCGGATTTACCTCATAGACGTCTATGGGCTCCAGTAACCACTTAACACCAGGTAGGCTGTGAGCTCGTCCATCCATCTAAGCCATAAAAAAAAGATAGAAATCTGAAGATCATTACTCATCTGAATTTTCTAGATGAATAATGCAATAAAAATGAGTCGTCTATTATCAAAGGTGGCAATCTGTGCATTTGGACAAAAAAATGTTAATGATATGTCAATACAGATTGATTTGAATATAATCGTCTCCTTCAAAGAATACGGTTCAAAAACTGCATTAAATAAAGGTTAATGCTTAACCTGTTATTTATCTAAGATGTCGTTCAGAAGAGTTTTGTGACTGCCAATGGAATACAAAGTCAATAATTCGTTTTTCTGATTTACCAATAATTGTCCAAAAGTCACATTGCCGGCTTTGATAATAGTCGACTCAAATACAACAATTTTTGTCAGTAATACATATATTAAGCAACACAAACTGCTTTAAAATGATTGTGTTATCATATCAATTTGACTTTGAACAAATCGGTCACTGCCTGTATAATAAGCATGTATTTAAATAAAAAAAAACCGATGATGCAATGAGTGAGTGTAGAACATTGAAGATCACACATTTTTTTGAAAATGATGATTCACTTTAGGTTATTATGTGATCTTTGTGGCTTTTTAGCTTACTTTGTATTAGTTTTGGATATTCGTAACACATGGATTCTAAAGAATTATCAGAGCTGATAGTAATTACAACGTGAATATTGCTGCTCATCTTTGCATGTAAGATTGTTTTAATTACATTAGTAAAACAGCTCTCTTCTTTAAACTGCAAAGTATGATTTGGTCATAAATATCTTTATCTGACTATTCTTTGGCTTAAAAATGTCCTTTAATTCACAGCTGAAGACAATGGAATTAGTTTAACAGCAAAAGGTGAAATCGGTAATGAATCAAATATTACTTGTGTTGTGCCCCTAGAAAATGCTACTGTTGAGTGGCAGTTTCAAGGAGAATCACTCAAAAAAGATAACAGGTAAGCTTGATGCTATATTATATTTTTGTATGTATGTTCGTGGTTGAACCCCATTGTCAATATCACTATGCTGAAACAACAGAATCTGAAAAACCTGAATTTACTGCACGTCATTCATGTAGTAACTAAGAAAGTTTATTGAATAAAGAAAATACTAGGATTTTTTTATTGATGGTACCATGGTGCCTCCTGTGGCCCACTTGATGGTACTGTGCTCATTGACATCAGCAAGCAGCAATTTGAACATTGCACTAAAGTATTACAATTGTCAACTATGAATGCGTGATGGAAGGTTGTATTGTGTGTCCAAAAAGATGAGTAGCCTACTGATTACTATACTCCATTTATTTCTGCAGAGAAACAGCAACCTTCAATGTTATGTCTTTTGGTTTGTGGCTGTGTGATGCCTATAGGCTCCGGTAACCACTAAACCACCACCATGACGTGGGTGGTGGGCTAATTTACCCATCTCTCCAAAATACCTGCTTCCAGAATACGATTTCTAAAGAAGCTTTTGTTTGTTATATTCTAGACTACACATCACGGCATCTCAAGGTACACTGTCGAGGAAAGATCAAGATGGCTCATTGCAGAAGACTACAATTTCCACAATCATCATAACCAATACTACATCAGATTATGAAGGGAATTATACTTGTATAGCCAAGCAAGGAACCGAAGGACCCAGTATAAAGGAGTCTAGATTTCTGGACCTCAGTTTCCCAGGAAGGCTCATAAACACAACTAAAAGTCCTATCCGTGAAAATGCTACTAATCACAATAATGTCACTCTGGAATGCATATTTGAAGGTCAGATTTCGTGTAAATTATAATAATTAAAACAAATCTTTCTTTCAATAAATCAATCAATTTTTTTTATTGCTTAGATGTGTGGACGAGCTCACAGCCCACCTGGTGTTAAGTGGTTATTGGAGCCCATAGACATCTACAACGTAAAATGCGCCACACACCTTGAGATAGAGTTCTAAGGTCTCAGTATAGTCATATATTTGTAATTGGCTATTTATTAGTACCGTTTTACATTTAAATTAGCAGTTCAGTGTGAAAATTATACTGATAAACTGTTATACAAATGTCTCGATGGTGCAGTACTTAGCGGTACTGACTGTTGCACTGAGGGTCGTGGGTTTGATTCCCACATCAGGCAAACATTGTGTGATGAACAGATTTTTTTACTCTCTGGGTGTTTATTATCTATATTTAAACATATAAGTATATTTATCAGTCTCTGGCCCCTGTAAAACTGGGAATCCTAAATTGGGACTGGATGACCATGCATGACTTGTTTCCAGTTATTATTATTATTATAAATGAGACTTCTGATGACTCAAGTAGCTAGTATTCTTCTGGTGATGTGCCTGGTAAAAAGCACTAGAAATGACATGAGCTGCTACTGCTGCTATTAATAAAGTACTTTTCAGATTGTTTTTTAATTGGTTTCTGTTAGTTGAAGGATTTTCTTATAATATTGGTGGACAATAGATTGTGAAACACACATAATATTTACAGTTTATAAGCCTGGAACGGTTGTGTGGTCGAAGCGTGGCTCGGAAGACGACACCAGCAACCTGAACGATATAAAACAAGAGAATATAAACCTTAAACAAGTGAAGAGCTCCGTCGTGGTCCGCATCCGGAACGCGGACAACGACGACGGCTCGTACGTCTGCGAGGTGGACGACCGCGTCACGAGCAGGCGGCTGTCCGGCGTCATCGACATCCACGTGTACGCGATGCCGGTCGTGGCCGTGGACAAGGCGGTCGCCGTCAACACCACCGAGGTCTTCCTCAACTGGACGGTCAAGTCCTACAGGCAGAAGATCGCGAACTACACCCTGATGTATCGCGTGAACTCGTCCAACGAAACGTTTCGGTTTTGCCGCGAACCGATAGACGTGAACAACACTTCGTTTGTGCTGAACGACCTGAACGCCTCCACGGAATACCAGCTGGTCCTGCAGGTCACCACCGCCTACGGCACGAGCAAGTCCAAAAACGTGATCGTGAGAACTTTGGACAAGGAACCGGTGTTTGTGCCGAACATTTCTATTAACGGTTTTTCCGCGACGTCAGTGACGATAGGCTGGCAACCCCCGCCCGAAGAAATATCGTCTCTGATCCACTACTACCTGTTAGAGGCGAGGAAGAAGGACGAGAACTCAACGAGGCGAGCCTACCACTCCGGAGGCATCATGAACCTGCCCTACATGTTCGACAACTTGGAGCCTCACAGCACTTACATATTTCGGGTGAGTTGTATTGGCAGCACATAAGTTTATCTGTCCATTATAATTTGTATGTTTTGGGTCTTTCCAGTTCTTGGAGAACANCACTACTACCTGTTAGAGGCGAGGAAGAAGGACGAGAACTCAACGAGGCGAGCCTACCACTCCGGAGGCATCATGAACCTGCCCTACATGTTCGACAACTTGGAGCCTCACAGCACTTACATATTTCGGGTGAGTTGTATTGGCAGCACATAAGTTTATCTGTCCATTATAATTTGTATGTTTTGGGTCTTTCCAGTTCCTGGAGAACATAAATAATAAGATGGTACTGTACTGGTGGTAGGAACTCTTGTGAGTCTGCGCGGGTGGGTAGCACCACTCTGCCTATTTCTGCCGTGAAGCAGTAATGCGTTTCGGTTTGAAGGGTGGGGCAGCCGTTGTTACTTGAGACTTCAGCACTTATTCTCAAGGTGGGTGGCGCATTTACGTTGTGGATGTCTATGGGCTCCAGTAACCACTTAACACCAGGTGGACTGTGAACTCGTCCACCTTGGGTTGGGTTGGCGGTATTGCTGGTGTCTCAGACATTTGTCCAATGGGTTGGCGGTTTTGCTGGTGTCTCAGACGTTTGTCCAGTGGGTTGGCGGTATTGCTGGCGTCTGAGAGGTCTGTCCAGGCGCAACCTGGAGCGCGTTAGTGTGGCCGCAGGTGCGCGCGTGCTCGGAGATGACGCGGCGCTGCGGGCCCCGCTCGGCGGACATGCAGGCGGCCACGCTGGACGGCACGCCGGGCCGCCCCGCGCGTCTCCGCCTCCGCTGCGGCGCGCGCTCCCTGCGCGTGATGTGGGAGCCGCCCGAGCGACCCAACGCTGAGATCAAGGGCTACATGGTGAGCGACCCCCAAAGCCACTTAGAACAGGATTTGTCGGCGTCCCGATTTTCAATCTCTTTAGAGGCTGGAGATTTTAAGCTTTTGGATGAAAGGAAAGACGGATAATCCCTGGAAATTTACGAGCCAAATATAAATGCTTGTCGTTTTAGTAATGTGAACTTTGACGAAAGGCGTATGTCACGTAATGGTCACAAAGCAAAAACTTTATTTTCATGCTTATTCCTAAACGAAGTACATTCACTCATATTAAACAAATTAAAATTTTGCGGGTTTCATTTTTATAACACGATGTTATTCCTTCACCGTGGAAGTCAATCGTTAAGTACGTATTTCATTAGAAAAATTGGTACCCGCCTGCGTGATTCAAACACGGGCCCAGTCACATCGCTTGATACGAGATGTGTTCCACTACAGTAGGCACCACACACGGAAAACATATAAATTATAGATAATCTATGACAAAATAATTTTCAAACAGGAAAAACTAACGGTATCTGAGGTTTGTCTGATTTGGGTTTTCATTTTTATGATAAAAGGATCCCGTCGTTATACTTAGTCTGGCCATAAATACTGTTACAAAGAAAAACAAAACAAAATCTATGGCAAATAACATTTATTACTTTTACAGTGTGTTAGTTTAATATAAAACAATTTAAAGTATAAAAAGCTTATTCGAAGTGGTCTCCATTGGCTGCAATACAGTCCTTTAAACGTTGAGGCCAGTTATCAATAGAAGCACGCATTCTTTCCATGGGAAAATTTTTCACTGCCAATCGTACGGATTGTTTTAGGGACTCCAAATTATCATGGCGTTTAGAGCAAGCCGTACTCTCTAAAACTGACCATAAATCATAATCCAGCGGATTAAGATCGGGACTAGACAACGGCCAGTCTTCAGCTCTGATGAAGTCCGAAACGTTCGTTTCCAACCAAGACTGCGTAGACCGAGCTTTATGACCTGGCGCCGAGTCTTGCTGGAAAGACCATTCTTGATTATTGAACATGGTGTTGTTAAGGGGCTTCACTACCTTCTCAAGAATGGTATCTTGATACACTTGTGCCGATGTTTTGATACCTTTTTCACAAAAGTATGGCCCAGTCACTCCTTCATAGCTAATACCCTACCAAACCATCACTGAAGTCGGATAGTGCCCACGTTGCACTCTGTCGACTAATTGGGAAGCTTCCTTAGAGCTTTGAGCATAAATACGGTCATTTTGTT